TGACAAAATAAACACTTTGACCTGGAACCACAGATCATTAAAAATAACAATAACAACAGAAAATGCTAATGCAGATGTCACCCACTGTGATCCTGGATTTGTTGTGTGCCATTTTACAGATCTGATCTTCCAGTCTACGCTTCTGATGCTGGAACTCCGTCATCAGGCAGGAGATGTCCTCCTAAACAGAGACCGAGAGACAGGTGAAAGAAATTCATTATTCTTGTAGAACTACATTAAAAGATGTGTAATTTAAACCAGGACTGATCAAAAGTCCTCTCTACTCTTTAGATTAAACTTTTTTACTCTGTATTCCATCCATCCTTCTTCTGCTGCTTATCAGTGGTTATCTGACAGTCAGTACAGATGTCATTCTACCCACTGAGGTCTCCCAGCTCATTGTGGAGGACCCAGAGCTGTTTCCAAGCCTGATGGGATAAAAGTGATTTTTCCATCACTTGACAATATCGTCAGTCCTGGTTAGCTGTTCTCCTCCCTGCTGAATACTGCCTGGGTTGAGTCCTGCCTTTCTCTCCTGAGGCTTCTGATACATTTTCAGAACTTACTTGAAGCTGAAAGTCCTTCAGCCACAACTCTGAGTAGCCCCCTCTACAGTGGAGGCTTTAACCATGCAAGGAAAAATACAGCTGAAGGTATGACTAGAAGACCTTGTTGAGAGGGGCCTCAAGACATTGCCAGTTCATTCATCCTCACTATTGGTTTGGCTTTACCATGTCTGCCCAACCCCAACTCTGTGGCACTCAGCTGGAGGCTGGTGAGTTTCACCATACCTGTCCAGCACTGCTCAGCCTGGGCAACCCCAGAAAGATAGAGAGTCCAGAGCAGCCCCAGGAGTTTGGTACCAGGGCTGATGCTGAGAGTGAAGTTGAGCCCAACTATGTTTAGTTGTTACTGCTTCCTCTCCTGTACCCACTCCAGCTTCTTACCCACACAGAGGTGATATCCTTAAAGCCAATTTATGGTAGCAGGGGTCTCTGTAGGTGTGGATGAATGTATGCATTTTGAAGAAAGGAACCTAAGGGGGTTATACTATACAGGAGTTTTCATTTCAATTCAATTTTATTTGTATGGCACCAAATCACAACAACAGTCATCTCAGGGCACTTTACATAGTAAGACCTTACAGTGTTATAGAGAAAACCCAACAAACCTCCCTTGAGCAGTACAGTGGGGAGGAAAAACTGCCTTTAACAGAAGAAACCTCTGACAGACCCAGGGTCAGACCCCAGCTCTTGGTGGGCGGCCTTCTGCCTCAACCGATTGGGGTGAGTGGATGAAGGAGAGAGAAAAGAAAAGAAAAGCATCAAAACAAAACAAACAATCAAACACTAGGCAGGTCGATGTGGCCGGTATAAGCTATTATTTCTGTGTAGCTTCTTCCGGTTCTTTCAAACCAGGAACTCTCAATGAGACGAAAGAGACTGCTTTAGATTTATAAAAAATAACCGTGCTGGTTTATTCAGAGGATCACAGGTAAAATTCACAGTACACGTCCAGAGCTCTCTCACCCCTCTGCCTGCGCGCAGGCAGCAGAACAGCTGAAGATTCTCTGGACCCAACAACCTATATAATATTAATCATTTTTCCTGCACAGAGGTACAACATTTCATGCTTCGTAATCCTATTGGCCATTTGGCATGAGCAGGTCAACCTCTGCTCACGCCTGCTTGCTGAAATGTGATCTAAACCAGGTGTGTGTGTGTTGTGATTTTCATGTCGGCAGCTAACCCATGAATGCGCAGCTAGACATCTGAATACTGAACAACTGGTTGTCTGCGCTGCAGACCACCTATCTGTGTAGGCTATTACAGGACAAATCAGGACCTAGTGAGTATGCTAAACGGGCCAGGTGGTCATCTGAGGTTGTAGGCACCCTGTCTCTGCAAGATACTACATGACAAAGCAAAACTTGTAATATGCTAAGCAAACCTAGGTGAAGATGCAAAACAGGCCAACAGGTCTGTGTTAAAACGTAAAATAGGCCATGTGGTTACTTGAAGGTACAGACATCCTGTCTCCACAAAAGTTACAGCACGCATTTCCAAAGTTTTAACTCAGTAGAATTTGGCGGTCATCAATACAGTTTTAATATATATAAACAAGGCTAATAAAGGTATGAAAAGTAACTAAAGGGAAAATAAAGTTATGACAGGTAACTAAAGGAAACTGAAGTTATGAAAAGTAACTAAAGCTTATAAAGTAACCTATAAGATTCAAATCTTACAAGAGCCAGGGCAACCTGCAGAAAGGTACAGGGAGAGAGAGAGGACACACAGTTAGTGACGGGTAGTGATGGCTTATAGATGGAAGGAGAGAGGAGAGGAGAGGAGCTCAGAGCATCATGGGGGACCCCCAGCCTAGATCTATAACTAAAGTATGGTACACCAAACCAAACCTAGAATGCATTTCCAGAATTTTCATAGACACTAGTGATGGGAAGTTCGGATCATTTTACTGGTTCGGTTCTTTGAATCTCATTCAGCAAAATGAACAAATCTTTTTTTGAGTCATTTTGTTCACTTCAGCAGAATGTAATTAAAATGTTACTTGTTAATTCCCCATCTACTTACGCACATATTGATCACGTTTCCAATAAGAAAGAACTGTAATGCAGCCAAGGTCATATTATAAGTAATATCGTACCTGTGTCTTGAGGCTATGCAGTCTGTTACGTCATCACCACCTCACCTCTGAATATTGTGGGTCAAATTCGTTTGGTCTTTTGTCACTAACATCCTAAGCTAAGCTAAGCTAAGCTAAGCTAAGATGTGCCGTGCCGTCTTCTGTATAATATACAGAAAGATTCTCCCTGATGAAGTTTATTAACTAACTCTTTATTAAAACATTCAGAGTTATGGAAAAGAACCATATTGATAGATATTCACAAAATTATAGTCTGTAGGAAATAAAAAGCTATTTTATAATAAAAATAAATGCATCATGTAACAGTAAGAGTAAAATAAGGACGGTTGAAAATTAATTTCTGTATCCAACAAAGCATTCATGTCACGTTACAAAAACGAATGACTCGAAAGGTGTACTAATCTTTAAAAGATTTGTTCAAAAACAAACGACTTGAAACCGAGAGCTCGAAAGGTGTACTAATTTTATGCGATTTTGCACACGCACGGTCAACACAAAATGAACAAATCACTCCCTGAGACGACCAATGTTCTCGAATCATGGGAAAGATTCCAGGTGGCATGAAAAAAAAACTTTTAAGAGGATAAACATGAGGCCTTAACAGACAGAATGAGAGTAGCTTGCTAACACACTGCTAACATTCTAACAGCTAATTTGTCCTATAACTGCACCTCAGCTAATGCTAATTTTCCTCCCTTGTGCTATGTCTGTGCGCTAACCCTAACACCTAACCAAGTTAATTTAAAATTTGGAATAAAAGTGAATGTTTCTCCCCATAGATAAGATTTAGAGATATTTAGCCAACAGTTTTTGATGCTTGTAACTCTCTAAATATCAATTAGTGTAAAAACTGAATTAATTATTTATTTTCACCAGGATCTGTGTGGCGTAGCCACTGTTAGCAGACACCAAGGAAGAGTTCTGTATATGTCTCTTGCATATGGCCTGCAGACCACTGAGGTGACTTCAGCTTGCTGCCTGCAATCCCCGGACACTCCGACTAGAACACTGGCCACTCCCACACTGAGAGAGGCTGCTTGTTTGTCAGAACTCTCTGCAAAGATGACTGTTCCCCACTTTGAGTTAGAGAGAGAGCCCTGATGAAGCTAAGGATTTATTTATGAATGAAGCGTGCTGGCTTATTAGGCACAGATCACCCATCAATCTGTATTTCAGCGGCTGGTGCACATGTAGACCACCACCACAGTTTGCACTTACTAAAGATGTTGAATACCTGCACTGGTTGGGGTATGTGACTGTTAGGGTGATTTTATTTTAAAGTAGATATGAATAGGATTAGTTAAGGTCTTTATTTCATAGCATACATAAGTTTACATACTTTTATCTCACTGTTATGTTTATGTAGTTACATATCACCCTATGTGTTCACTGAATCACTGGTCAGTATTTACTGTGTTAGCCAACTGGAGCACTGTTTAACATCAAAGGGACTGGTTCACTAAAACACTGAATCTCATTAGATTTACAGCTTTGGCAAAGAGGGTCCACAGTTAATTTATTATCACCACCTGGCTGATGAGCCCAGGGGAATTAGGGTTCACTGGGACACTATGGTTAGTAAACAGAGATTAGATCTGAAGCCAGGAAGAGGAGAAAACTTCAAAGGTAGAACCATATGCGCACAGAGTCAGAGTAGTTTTAATTGGTGAACCAAAAAGCAATGCCTAATATGGATCAGTTAGTTAGAAACAAAGGAAGAAGTGAGTGTTTATGTAGAAATTAAGGCAGTATAAGTATTCCTCCCCTTCCTAGGGTGCTGTCCTCTACGATTGGAGCAGAAAGGACGTAGGAGGACAGACTGACCGAAGGACTAGTAACGGGAGAGTTAAGTCTAAACCATGGCTCCTCCCCAACACCCGTGGATACAAATATTGTATACTGACAAGTTGAGAGTCTTTTCTGTTTATCCTAATCAGTGAAGATCCATGTGCACATGCTAATTTTGATACGTTAATGTATAATAAATTTCACACTTTGAAATATCCTTTTATTAGTCTTCTCTTTTCAAAATAAAAGAACACGCCTCACATGACCCAGGAGGTCAAAGTGGCGTCGGAGTAAAAACTTGGTACAATTTTTAGGACTGGACATTCTACCTACCACATATTTTTATTGATTTATTTTCCCAGAGATCTAATGTGTAAAAACATATGACACTGATAATTAATGTTATTTCAGTGAACAAGAAAATAAAATATTCCGATTTTGAAAAATATCTGGATGTGTGTTTTACGAATGGTGACTTCAGACTCCAACAATCTCAGTTAAGAATGTACTACAAAGGTCAAGGGTTGCTGTTTGTATTTCCAACCAATGAATCACCAGGTAACTGTAGAAACAGAGATTAGCTCTTTAACTTCAGAACTGTTTTGATTGCATATAATGAAACTTGACCCCAATAGTCAGAAATCTACTGATAGTGTGACAATGGTACATTTTTTAACCCGCTACAGTAACTTTTCAGATCATTAGGGGTTCTTGAACAGTTTGACAATTTCGCAAGATATACAGTAGAATGATAAAAATAAAGTCACGGTATCATATTAAACCAATTAGTTAATCTGTCCCTGTGGTACATTTGTCATATTAAAACTATTATTTCTGACTAATTAATCATACCCTGGCACTGATTCTGTACAGGTAGGTTGAGAACATTAAGAATGTTCTGCCAGGGGCCAAACACTGCTGAAGGTCACAACACATACAGAGTCATTTTCATAAGCATTAACAACATGTATTGTTGTGAAACTGGAAAGCAAAAGGCCACATCTGATTTGTGTACCTTTAAACAGTTTTATCTCACTGTTTGATGATATAATGTGAGCTAATGGATGTTTATCTGCAGTAAGTCAACAGCAGCAAGTTATTCTGAGGTTAATCAACACTTCTGCTCTCAGGTGTGCAAAATTCAACCCCACAGCCTCAAACGTATGTGTGTACATTAGAAAACAGAATACGAGTTCATTTTTCACATGAAGACTCTATTTGAATTAATGCTTAGAACACAAAGTAATTATACTACTATATTATAGGGTGACTTTAATATTCATGTAAATGTTGACAATGACAGCCTCAACAATGCATTCTGTTCATTATTAGACTCAGTTGGCTTTTCTCAAACTGTAAATAAACCCACTCACTGTTTTAATCACACCCTTGATCTTGTTCTGACATATGGCATCGAAACTGAACACTTAATAGTCTTTCCTCAAAACCCTCTTCTGTCTGACCATTTTCTAATAACTTTTGAATTTCCATTAATGGATTATACTCTATGTGGGAAACAATTCCACTACAGCAGATGTCTATCTGACGATGCTGTTACCAAGTTTAAGGAAATAATTCCATCATTATCTACTTCAGTGCCGTTTGCCAACACAGTGGAGGGAGGCCACCTTAACTTTACTCCCATACCAGTCGATAATCTTGTTGATAGTACTGCAGCCTCCCTGTGTACGACACTTCAAACTGTTGCCCCTCCGAAAAGGAAGGCAGTGAAACAGAAGAGGCCCCACGGTACAGCTCGCAACACTCCACTAACTCAGAAGAGCTTTAGCCTGGAAAATAGTTGAATTACATATAAAAAGCCCTTCGTAGTGCCAGAACCACATTTTATTCATCACTGATTGAGAAAAATAAGAACAACCCCAGGTTTCTTTTCAGCACTGTAGCCAGGCTGACAAAGAGCCACAGTGCTGTTGAGCTTAACATTCCCTTAGATCTCAGCAGCAATGACTTCATGAGCTTCTTTACAAATAAAATCACAACTATTAGAGAAAAAAATTGGTCGGACCACTCCCACAGCTCTCGCAGATGTGCCATCTACTACAATGGCTTTAGAAACATCTGTAAGACCTCATTTATACTTGGACTACTTCTCCCCTATAGATCTCTCTGAGTTGACCTCAACAATTGCTTCATCTAAATCATCAACATGGCTCCTGGACCCCATCCCGACCAGGCTGGCCTAATTATAGACCAATATCCAGTCTCTCCAATCTCCAATCCAATTTCTATTGCTATGCAGATGATACTGTTATATTTATCTATGAACCCAGATTAATCAGATCAGTTGGTCAAACTTCAAGCATACCTTAAAGACAAAAAGGCCTGGGTGACTTGTAATTTCTTACTTCTGAACTCTGACAAAACTGAAGTTATTGTGCTTGGGCCTTAAAATCTTAGAAATCTGCTGTCTAACCATATAATTACTTTAGATGACATAGCTCTTGCCTCCAGTACTACTGTGAGGAACCTTGGAGTCATTTTTGACCAGGATATGTCCTTTAAATCACACATAAACCAAGTCTCTAGAACTGTCTTCTTTCACCTGTGCAATATCA